CAAATCAAGAGAAATTTATATGTGATTGAAATGCATTTGGCTCATGTTTACATTGCTTACATCCAGACAGATCTTTCTATACATCAATGTGAAGAATATTTTAGGGGTTATTATGTGTGCCTACAAAGTGCATACATATTCACAAGCATATGGTTGATATGTGTGTGTGTGTGTGTGTGTGTGTGTGTGTGTATGTGTATGTATGTATTGGTTCCACTAACTACTTGAAGGTTGTAGTAGATTATTCAGCTGTATAGCTGTTATTCAACAAGCTTATAGCAAGTACATCCATCTGTTTGAAAATCAATAGCCAAGATATCACATGAATAAGAGGATGTTGTGTTTGGGTAAGTTACATTCAGAGACAACACAGCCATCATTTCCACTCAGAAAGAGCCATAAAAAGGATAAACAATGCTTATTAAGTAAATCTAAAGTCAACCTATGAAATGAAAGAAATTAGTAAACAGATTGAAACACAGTCCAAATTTCCTAAATTCTGGTCAGTTCTCAAATGCAAAATTATTTTCTGTAGTTGGGAACAGATTTGCCTCTATCACATTTGTTCATATTCCAAGTGTTGTGAATTTTGTGTCCCAAGTGCAGCTGGAGGATTTGGAAAATTGCATTATAAAGCAAGTGGGGATACCCTCCACCACTTGTTCTGTCTCTGGTAACTCCCTTCATTATCAGTGCTCACTGCTAAAGCTACATCTACAGAAGGTATTGTGGCCTATGTAGACAACCTTTGATGGAGGCATAGCTCATAATCTATCCTTGAAATCTCTACTCAGCATTACCAAGTACATTACAGAGAAGATAAATAAGAGTCATAGTGAGGGTTCTGTGCATGAGAAGTTGGACAGACCAGTCCTGGGAACCAGCAGGGGGCAATTTGGATCCATCAATCTTTAAGAAGTTAATGGCCACAGAAGCAGGCAAAGATACTGTGCATTGAGGAGATTTCAACAAACTGTGCATGGTAACCCAGAGAAACGTTATGGGAGAGTACTCCTAATTAGATTGGGAGGGGAAGGCAGAAGAAGAAGGGAGAAACAGAGGGGGAAAAGAGGAGGGGGGAGGACAAGGAGAGCAGGAAGTTTGAGCTAGGGTAAGAATAGAGGAGAGAAAGATGAGAGATAACATTGATGGGGGAGGTCCAGTGTATATGTCAATAAAACACTGTTGGCCAATATGGTACCAAGATAGGTGGGACTAGGTGTCCAGCAGGACTCTGGGAAGGAGAAACACAGGGAGTCACAATGTAGCCTGCCAGTGAAATAAGATGTCCGGAACTTTGCTCTGGTAATAGAAATATTTAGATTAACAATTATGGGTAAATACATAAGTCAGAGCTAGCCGGTAAGAAACAAGCAAGGCCAACAGCTTCATAATTAATACAGCTTCTTGTGTGTTATTTGGGGACTAAAACGCAGCAGAGCCCAGGTGAGTGGTGGGGGATAAACCAAAGCAGCAGACAAGGAAAAGGCTTCTCTCTACATACCATACTAGAGGGAGCCATTTTAAGTTGGAGGAAAGATCTGGCACTAGTGAAATCTTCGCAGATCTACATGAATGATACCAACTGGAATTCAGACTACCTTAAATGCCCTCCCATAATAATGTGATTGATAACTATCTTATATGCCATCCTAGAACCCTCATCCAGTGGCTGATGGAAGCAAAGGCAGACACCCACAGCTAAAAACTGAATTGAATTCCTTGAACCCAGTTGCAAAGAGGAGTGATGACCAAAGAATCAAGATCAGGCTGCCAAAATCCACAGAGGCACCTGACATAAACAAAGGGGGAAACATGGACACCAGACTGATGCCTGAGAGGCCAGCATGGGACTGATTTAGATGCCCCCTCCTGACCCACCCCCTGCCCCTGCCATGAACCTGGGTGTCAGAGAAGAGGTCTCAGAAACCTTTGGGACCTTAAAGAGTAGAGCAGTATTTATTCCTGGTGTACAACCAGACTCTGTGAGCCCATTTCACATGAAGAGATTCTCACCTGTACACATGGGGGACAGTCTGTCCATGCCTGGGATGATATGACAGACTCTGAGAATCCCACATGGAAGTCCTTACCCTCCCTGGGGGGAGCCAAGGGGAACAGAGTGGGGTGGGGTCTGGGGAGGATGGGGGATTGGGAAGTTGGGGGAGGAGGGATGACAGAGGGAACTGAGAGTAACATGTGTAAAGATTAAATAAAAAAGAAAAAATTGTATTTGAGTCTGGAATCTGGATTTTCCCATCTGTTGAGAGAGAGAGAGAGAGAGAGAGAGAGAGAGAGAGAGAGAGAGAGAGAGAGAGAGAGAGAGAGGAGAGAGAATAAATATAAAAGGAGGTACTAAGTGGATTTCTAGAAATATGCTCAATATCCAAATGAAGTGTTATCATTTGGTCCAGGAATTTACCTCATTTTGGTGTTATATAAAATACCAAAGTTTGTGATTCTTACAAGAATTTTTATACAGTCATTGCCTCACAATCTCTGGTGCTCTACTCCAGTAACCATTAATGTTTAAATGACTATGTACTATTTCCACAAAATGCCATTTTGCAGTGATTTCTATGTCACAGTGTGTATGAATCTGGAGGAGAATAAAATGGGAAAAATAGACTAATGTTACATATCACATTTCCATCTCCATGAGACTCAAGGCCAGATAAAACCTAGAGATGGGTTGACAAATGAGCAGGAGGGTATGGGAACATGAGATGTAAATAAGGAATGCATAGCTTTCTTTGAACCTGAATTAATGTTAGGAGCTACAGGGCTAGTGTATCCCCAGCATTGTGAATTCTGCAATTGTCAGGTTTCTGCTCACATCAATGGTTACTCATATGAATTCCATACGTGGTGAACATATAAAATTAAACATCTATGTTAGAATAGAAATGAATAAACCTAGTATCTCTACAATGAAAATATCTGTCCACTCCCATGAAGACAACATACATTTGAATTCTGAATGAGGCTCTGAAATCATGCCACAGTTAGATTGTTAGAAGGGCAGAAGAAACCATTCCAGTTTATTGTTCTGCATGAGATGTGGAGAGATAAATGTAATGAAAAGCCTCTAATATATGTCATTGATTGTGACAATCTGTGTCATTTCAGACCAGAAATCAACTAAGACCATGATTAACATTACAAAGGAAATTAAAATATCTATCGAAGGTGACATGTATATTTAGCAAGGGCTATATCTAAACACTCATATAATAGAAACTTTCACTTTTCACAAGAAATGACCATTGCTTATAAAATTGTAATGCTTATAGCAGAAGTAAATAAAAACACCATTTTAAGGCATAAACTGAAATCTCACCTTCCCCATGTCCAAACTCTGGAGTGGCTTGTAACAGGACTTTGTTCTGTATATAGGGAGTCTCCACGATGCTCTGACCATCAGAGGACAACCAACATGATGCAGGGAGTTACTGTAACATCAGGGGTCATCAAATATCCCTGGTTTCAACTGCATCTTGAGCAGGTGCACAGAAAGCCAGAGAGCACTTCCTGTGAGCCCTGGCTTCCTCTTCCAGTGGAGTTTGCAGAGGAAACTGCAGGAACTTGGAGCTGGCAATTGTTGACTTCCTTTGACAATAGGATTTGTGCTTCCAGAGAATGGACTATGCAGCACAAATGTCTGGCTTATGTGCACAGCATTCTGCTACTCATCTCCTTTGTTTCCTGTCATAGTATGACTGTTTATGTTTAGGACCTTGTTACAATTACTTGTCTTTGGTCCACACTCTCAGCAAGGACCTCCACTCACATTAAAATATCAGAGCTCAGTTTACGTCATATGTGAGACATCCTTAGACATCTCTAGTACCTCTCTCCCCACAGCATCAGTCATTGTACGGGTCTATCAGTCATTTTACTGTTAATCTTTGTATCTCATTACATGCATCAAATGAGGAAAGCAGGTAGAATGAGATTCCTATAATTTTGAGCAGCCTTCTTAATGTTGGATTAGAAAAGAACAGATATGAGATTCAATTGAGCAAGGGTTTGTCATGAGATTCCAAATTATTCAGAAAGGATGGTCTCTGGGTATTTCTACATATTCATTGTCAGTTACAATGCTACAAGAATTCATTGTAGTGTGAGATTTTCACATGAGTTTATCGTTAAATTATGCTTTGTTTTCAAAGTCTTTCTATTCTAATTATGCATCTGTGTCTTTGTGTGGGAACCTGAATAAGACTTTGGGCAGGTGCCCAAAGAGGTCAAATGTGCTGGCTCCCCCGTGGAAGCAAAAAATACAGGTAGATGTGTGGGTGCTATAAGTGTAGTCCAGGCCCTTTAGAAAGCAGGGCATGTGCATAACCACAGATATATCTCACCAGATCTGAAATCTATTCCTTATTATAAATTCTGTTCCACCATTTTAATTATAACGGTTTTTCAATTTTTATATTAAATACATACATCCTTTCCCCAAAACTCTACATGATCCCCTTTGTACTTGTTTGAATATATAAATTTTATTACATGGCTTATGTAAGGGAAGACCATAGGTTTCATAATGATGTATATAAATATGTTTTATTGTACATGCTTCATCAAGAATGGTTAGACACTGATACAGGAGAGCAGAGGTTGCAAAATGTTCAAAACAAGTGCCTATTTAGAGGCAATAGACAAGGGGGCACTAATGCAGAGGTCTCAGTGTGCAGAGGGAAATCTCCATGGGAAAGGATAACGTCACTAATTCTGAGCACACAATAGGACAGACACATGAGCAATAGAAGGTAAAGGTCACTACTGCCCTGTTACATGATACCAAGCAGTGATACTGGGAGGTTAAAATGTGACAATGTCAGTGAGCAAACTCAGCTCACTCTGAGTCCATGGCAATAACACAAAAACATTAAGACATGAACATTAGACACTGGTAGGGACTCCTTTACTCACCTGAGTTCATGGATCCTTATATATTAGGATTGTATATATAGGTTTACTCAGTATCAGGCAGCATGCAAATCTGCTCTATGCAAAACCTGTAGAATAGAAATCTGAGGCTTATCTCTGTCACTCAGCAAAGGAGTGCCTGATTGGTCTCAGGAAACGACAGTGATCTGAACTCACACAGCATGGAATGGGTGTGGAGGCTCCTCTTCCTGTTGGCAGCTGCACAAAGTAAGACATCTGAGTCCAGAGCTTCAGAGTAAACTGAGGCAGTTCCATGGCCTCTCACTTCTCCATGTTCTCTCCACAGGTGTACAATCACAGGTCCAGCTCGTGCAGTCAGGAGCTGAGCTGAAGCAGCCTGGGCAGTCAGTGAAGATCTCATGCAAAGCGTCAGGGTATACGTTCACAAGCTATGCAATGAACTGGATGAAGCAGGCACCAGGTCAGGGCCTAAAGTGGATGGGCTGGATCAATACCAACACTGGGAATCCAACCTATGCTAATGACTTCAAAGAACGGTTTGTGTTCTCTTTGGACACCTCCATCAACACTGCATATGTGCAGATCAGCAGTCTCAAGAATGAAGACATTGCCACATATTACTGTGCGAGAGACACAGTGTGAAAACCACATCCTGAGTGTGTCAGAAACCCCAAGTGAAGATGGTTCTTCTGTTCTCAGGCAGCAACAAGGATAATATCCTGCCTTCTTCCATGACTAGGATTAAGAGGTTTGTGATTTGATACACAGGATATTGATCTCTATCCTTTGACAGATTATTCACTTTGCTGCACTGACTATGAAGCCACATGGATAGTAGATGTGACATTATATAGCATCATTATCTTCGTATAAAACTTACAGTTATTATAATACATCCCCATATAAATGCAGTAAACTTTTGACAAACAATTATGAAATCATATATTAAAAGAGTAACATCAGCCTCTGTCATACTGTCAGAGAGATGAATAGTCCAGTGATGTATATTCTTACAAGTGAGAGTGCAAAGAAGAAGACAGCTCTGCTGGGAAGTGTGGACTGCAGAACAGACACTGTTGAAGACAACCATCCACAGACACAAGTGTTTGCATTAGTTCTGCTTAGGTGACTCATAATGGATGTGAGATTCAATCATAAAATATACACATACCTCAAGAACATCATGTTTACAGGAGCTCAAAGCTATGATGCAGTGCAATGTAAAAACACACAAGCAAGAAAGTATATTTTAAGAAATTATCACCGCAAAATAATAAGGAAATTTCAAATATAAAAGTAAACTATAAAAAGAAAATCTTGTGTTAGCAAAAACTAAATTTGAGACTTGAGTCTGGATTTTCAGCTCTGGTACATTAGAGATGGTTTTCATGACCCAAGTTTTTAGCACTCAGGTCCAGGTCTTCCATCACCTTCACTGAAAATTTCCATTTCCATTTGCTGTGTTAATAAGTATTCCTGTCTTTAAAATATTTAGTTTCAGGTGACCTGTTATACTTCATAATACTATCTCAATTGTACATTTTGATTGTCTTATACTTTTAAATGTCCAAGATATAAGTTCAGTATTTTCTTCCACAGAATTTTGCTCCTAATATGATGATTTATACAACCCATAATCTTAAATTCTTCATTTAATTTCAGTATTGTCTCTCTTGTTTTATTTTTACAGCAATTTTCTGAAATGGTGGAACATACATATGACATTGTAATTTCAAATTCCTCGTGTTCCAACATAGTAATTTGTAAAAATGTTGTGATAGATGCATTGCCCTTACTATGTGACTATAAGGTGAATAATCTGAGGAATTCTATTTCTTAAACAGGAACATCTTTCCTGATAATTATGACATATGTTTTACAAAACATGGGTTGTTCCCTTTGCCAGAGATTTTTCTGCATTGAAGGTGCTGGCTGTGTCCTCAGGCAACCCTCCTATCTCTGTGGATCCACTTTCCAAAGCCCAACCACCTCTTATTTCAAGGCATGCCATGGGTGTTAAATTTTGATGCTTATGTATATATTAGTGAACTGCAGCTATTGAATACCTTAACAGATGATCAAATATAAGAGTATGTTTGGAGTACTGTGTGTACATACATGCAACTTATAGGCAAACCGTAATCTTCAAAAATACACTGCATATCAGGATGGAAATGCCCTTGATTTGATGTAAACACCATTAACATTCAAATGCATTTCAGTTCTATTAATGCTTGTCCAGCATTGAAAGTTTCAAGAGTTCCACAATAGTGGGATTTATATCTCTGTGTGAAGATCTTCGACTAACATATACATTCAGAGCTTGCTAAATGAGGGATGTTGAAGGCAAGATAACATGAACATATATGCCATACATTGTATGTACTTTTATTACATGACGCCTCTCTCTAGGATTGTAGAAATGGGCTTCTTCCAAGTTTAAGCTGAGCCTTTTCTTGTTTTATTTAAATTAGAAACAAGCTTGTATTACATGTCAATCCCAGTTCCCTCTCCCACCCCTCCTCCCTCTATCCCCTTTTTGCTCCCCAGAGAGGCAGAGGCCTTCCATTGGGATCTTTAAAGTCTGTCATATCATTTGGGTTAGGGCATATGCCCTCCCCAATGTGTGTAGTATGAGAGAGTATGCCTCTATGCTCTATGCTGAATGAACTCCAAAACTCCATTCTTCTGCTAGGGAAAATACTGATCTATTACGAGAGGCCACATAGATTGCTGGGGCCTCCTCATTGACACCTACATTCAGGAGATCTGGATCATTCCCATGCTTGTTTCCCAGATATTAGTCAGGAGTCCATGTCCTCCCTCTTGTTCAGATAGGTTGTTTCTGTGGGTTTCACCAGCCTGGTCTTCATCCATTTGTTCATCACTCCTCCCTTTCTGAAACATGATTTCAGGAGTTCAGTTCAGTGTTTAGCTACTAGATGAAGACTCTAGGATGGTATATAAGGTAGTCATCAATCTCATTATTGGGGAAGGTCATTTAAGGTAGCCTCCCCAATATTGCTTAGATTCTTAGTTGGTGTCATATTTGTAGATCTCTGGAAATTTCTCTAGTTCCAGATTTCTTTCTGGGTGAATAACTTTCTTTAGAGTACAAGGTGGAATCTTTTGTGTATGTATTCAGGAGTAAACTTTGGTCATGTTATCATCAATTTTCTACTTTTTAGGAATTACCCATACTATTTTCATGAATTTGGTACCTGATTTTTGCCCTTTATTCTCTGACTCATGGAGAAAATAGGAATATGTCAATATGTCAATATTCATAGCTCAATGCTTTAAGGTCTTACGTACAATAACTACTAATTATACTTCTATAGCATAAATATTGCATTCTGGCCCTTACTCTCCCCTAGTTTCTATCTGTCTGATTATAGCAGCAGGACATATAGATAGGGAGGCACTATTATGAGAACCAGCCCAGCCATTACCTTGCAGCTATGGCCAAGAATTCCAGCCCAGGTTTCCCAAGTGTTCCATTCAGTAATTTGTATAGATGATGGTGGATATTAGAAGAGCTACAGAAAACATGCATGATAGTTTCCTGATCAGAATTTTCATTGTTCGTAGGATTGTAGTGTGAGGTGCAGATGTAGAGTCATGGGAAGCATGGTAAAGCTCTCGAGGTCAGAGAAACTCTTTTGTGGAGCCTTAGGTGTCACATTCAGGATTTTCATAAAACGGTATCCTGAAGACTATGGGAAAGGATCTTGAATGATTTTCTTTTATTAGAAAAATGATAATGGTCTCACTACATAATATGTTTCCTCTGTCAAATGTAGACTTGCCATTTCAAAAGTCAATCCATAAGGCAGTACCTATCTTCAAATGGATATCTAAGATATATGGACAGATTGTAATCTTTCTATGTGGCCTGGTGATGATGAGGCATCACTGTGAGCCTGGATGCAAACTTACTTGAAGGGGGCAAAGGAACACTATGTAGTGTCTCACTGCATATGTTGTTCTAGATGAAGCCAACAATAGACATGAAAATAATTGACTTGCTTCTCACCTCTGTAGGCTTCCTCTGTATGTTATGGGTTCCTTCGGGTGATTTTCACACTGAAGATTGTAGAACATGTTACATTACCAATAATGCATCCTAAAAAGATTATTGATTTTGTATTGTTTTGGAGTTCTTTTTATATTTCCTTCTGATGGTTGATTGACCAAAAATGTTAGGAACTGCTTATGTGTTCTTTAGATGAGATAGGACTGTCATCCATACAAAGGATGGCAAAAATCCCAGGATATTTAGTCAACAATATTAAGTAAAAAGATTTATACATTAAATACTGACATGTAGTGATGCTATTTTCCATCATAAAATTTTCCATTGATATTGCATCACTGGTTGAATCTACACTGAATCATCTGGGATGTTCTTCTGTATATATGTTTCTCTTATTAGTTGATAAATAAAAGACTATTTGGCCAGTAGTCAGGCAGGAAGTATAGGTGGGGTTAGGAGATGAGGAGAATTCTGGTGGGATGAATCTGAGAGTGGCCTTAAAGAGAAGTCATGTGGCTACTAGTAAGATATGACACACTGGGTGTTCTCAGGCAAGATACAGCCAAGTAGAAATACATGGATTGTTATTAAGGGTTAATAATTAAGGAAGAGCTAGCCAAAAGAAGCCAGGGCCATTGGCCAAACAGTTTATGATTAATATAAGTCCTAAAAGTTTATTTGGGACTAAACAACTGTAGGAACATGTGGGCCACAAACTCTGTTTAAAACTTTCAACTAACACCTTCCATTAACACATGAAATACATGTGTATATGGCCCTATCATCTAACTGTCTCTCTTGCCTCAGGATGTTTCAATATACCTGGGGTATCCCTTGCACATTCACACTGGTTCACAGTCTTCCTTTAAGTCACATAATTCCTTATAGTGATTTTTATCCCCACCGCGTATTCCCTAACTTGACATGTGTGAATGCTTCAGAAAATGTTGGTAGACATTATTGATAAAAGAATAATAGGAATTAAATCAAAATGAGGCACAATTCTGAACTGACCATTGTGTCTGGCCCACCCATGGCAAAACCTACCTTATGAATTTGAGGAACTATATAAAAAATGAGCTCCAATGCTGCTATGATCCCTGCACTGCAAATATTTGGAGCTATCTTGGTCAATCTGAGATCCATAAGGGTGATTTTCAGGATTTATAGGCTATGGTTCTTTATATTTGACTTAATTTATGAAGGTTCTACAAAATTCTTGGGACAGTATTCCTACCACCTTAGATGACATTGATTAGAGATGATGGTTTTCTTATTTTTAGTCTATGAGATAGTATCAAAGGAACAACCATTGAATGTTATCTATGAGATATGTAATATCCCTACTCTGATCACCTTTTAATCATAGTAAAGGAAATTACTGATAGAGAGGTGGACAGAAAGCCATTAAACTATCATCTATATTACACTTACAAATTTCGTCCTCCATGTATACTTAGGAAAGAGTAATGTCCACAGATATTTAAGGGTTAATTGCGGGCCCTCCATCTACACAATGCTGAGATTGTGTTCCATATTGTGCAGGATCATTTTTATAATCTAGCTGCTTTCATGTCATCCATGTGCCTTTACAGTAGTCAAAGCA